AAAATAGAACCAATAAATAAAATGAATTTTATTGCTTTTCTTACAATTTGTCATTTTTATATATAAAAGTATCTAAAATAAAATACGAAACAAACTAAATTTGGAATAAAGGAGATATTTCGACTACATAAAAGTATATGGGAAAATTATTAAAATAATAACCATTTTCTGTTCTCCTCAAAGCAAGGACACTTAAGGAAGAAGCATGGAAGTCTTCTCAAATTGTGCATTAATGCTTAATGTTCATGAATTAAGGATATTAATCAATAAATATTTTAGTTTTTCATTTATTCAGGAACTCAATTGCTCTTTGTATTATGAATTCAAATTATGCGATGTATTTCTTATCCAATACGATTTTTGATACAGAAATTTTAATTCCACTTTCAATTAAAGCAGAAAATTGATTTGTTATTTACGGTAAACTGCATTCAAATATTAATTTAATGCTTTGCTTGTTTTAATTAATTTAAATATTTTGAAGCAAATACGTAAATGATTTACAAAGCATTTGATAATAAAATTATGTATATTAATTTTTGTATATAAATTCAATAAATTAATCTTTTGAGGTTATTTAATTAAACTAAAATTAAACTCCTTTTTGTCTTAAATCTAGTTTCAATACATTTCAAACTTATTTAAGTATTATGTTTCAATTATTTAATATTAAATACAAAAAACTCAGATTAAAGCAATATTTTTTAGATCTAAGAATGATATTTAGTATTATGTTATTTAGTACATTACAGTAATAATAAAACAAGATATATAATAAAATAAATAAAAACGAAAATAAGATAACGTAAAAGTGATTACGTTTGTACTTAATCATCTAAACTTCTTTGAAATAATGAATAAAAGACTGCAAGTAAAATTTATTTAACAAATAGTTTATAATAAAGTTATGTTCAAAAATGTAATACTCACAAAAAGTTTTATCATTCTTTCAAATTAAATATGTAAGTATATCAAGATTTGAAATAAACTGATTTCTAAAAATGCATTCAACAACATTAGCAGGGTCTAATCAAGTTTAAGGTAGAAAAGCGATGCCAAAGTAAGCTGTCTGAAAAGAGTTTGAATGTCATAACTACCAATACTGATTTTCCAACAAGTACACAGCGAAGAGACATATAAGGTACATTTGTACAGACATTCCCGGCAAAGCGAAAATAGTTGAAGCTATTACTTCTCTTAAGAACGGGAAGGCGGCAGACGTAAACAACATGCCGGCCAAATTCTTCAAAGCAGACCCATCCAGTACCGCCGTCATTCTTTATCTTCTATTTAGAGAGATTTGGCACATCGAAAGATTACTGAAAGAAAGGAAAGAACCAGTAATTATAAAAATTCCGAAGAAGAATAACCTCTCCAGTTGCAATAACTGGCAATAACTGAGTGATCGCATTGCTGTCATGTGCTAGTAAAGTTTTTAACACAAATTATTTTGAATCGTTTAATCGAATTATTAAATATCTGTGTCCAGAAACAACAACCAGGTTGTCACGCGACAATGGTAAAACCACTGATGGCTCTTGAAAGATACGGGGCCCCTATGAAGTTAATAAACTTAATTAAAAATGAGTATAATTGCGCGCATTGCGGAGTGTTGCACAAGGGAGCATTAAGCGAGGCATTTCCATCAACGACAGGTGTCAGAAAAGAATGCCTTCTGTCCCTCCTGCTTTTCATTGTAGTTCTGAACTGAATGCTTGAAGTCTTTGATACCGAAAACAGCAGAATAAACTGGTGACTAAATGAACAACTTGAAGACATTGATTACGCCGATTACGTTCTGGTACTGTTGTCGTTTAGCGAACTAAGAGCTGTACCTCGAAACAGAAACAACTGGAAAAACTATGTCGAAATCTTATGCTCCTAAAGAAGTTTGGAAATAATAATAATTAAGGTATGATACTGCACTCTCTCAACTCTCTTAAAATCCAATGACCTAATAATAATAATAATAAAAGGTATTCGTGAAAATTGCCCAACAGCCGGTACTGCGGCCAGAAGAGACCTATTGTACCAGTTTCACTATTGATTAAACAAAGCCCCTTAAAGCTTTGTGAATAAAGTCTAGAACTAAATCTAGAGAAGAGTTCTTAATCTGTTCTAGTGACAGAAATTCCTTATGAAACAGGTTTCTTCTGTGCGTTATTAAAGCTGGACAGTCACAAAGAATGTGCATGGTTGTTTCCTCATTTTCGAGGCATAATCTGCATTCCGAGTTAGCAGATAATTGTAGTTTATGAAGGTGATATTTCAGACCATAATGACCTGTAATGAAACCCGTTATCATCCTTAAATTACATTTTGAGAATTTAAGAATGCTTTTGTAGGAGTAAGGTGTTATCAGTGCTTTGCTTTGTCTGAGTCCTGGAAAGTTTACCCAGTACTCTAGCCGCATATGATTTTCCATTTCCTTGATAATCTGTTTTGTACTAGCCCAGTTTATTCCACAAAAGGGTTGAGGGCCTATAAAAGCAGTTTTTGATGCAGTTCTGGCAAGCTCATCAGCTTTTTCATTTCCCAAAACTCCTCTGTGGCCCGGAACCCAGTAAAGGTTTACTTTATTCCGAGCTGCAAGTGATTGCAGAAGATCGTAACACTCAAGGACCTGTTTTGATTTGAAAGTCCAAGAAGAAAGAGCTTTAAGAGCAGCCTGGCTGTCAGAGTAAATAACAATTTTCGAGCCAGAAGGTTTTTTGATTAAATTGGATCTTACGCATAAGTTGATTGCGTGGATTTCAGCTTGGAAGACACTCGGCCATGTGCCCATTGCTTCCGAGATGCTGGTGTTGGGTCCAAATACACCAGCGCCAGTGCCTTCATCCATCTTTGATCCATCTGTGTACCAAACCAAACTTTTTGGGTCAACCTGTGGGCCTCCATTCTCCCACGTTGAACGTGATGGTAGGTGTACCTCAAATTTTTTGCCAAAACGATGGAGTTCTGTTGTATAGTCTCCATCGCATTGAGGAATTTTATGTGCTCCAAATATTTTTAATATTGTTGTATGACCACAGTCAAGACAACTCTTGTTCATGTGGAGTTTTAGTCGAAGCGCACTAAGCGCAGCCGTAGATTGAATGTGTATGTGCAGAGGTGTCAATCCAAGTATAGCCTCAAGTGCTGCAGTTGGACTTGTCCTCATAGCACCAGTCATTAAGAGACACGCTAATCTCTGGAGCTTCATGCAAACAGCAATAGACCCAGCCTGTGTGACCTTTTGCCACCAAACCAGGCAACCATATGTCATGATAGGACGTACTACTGCCTGATATATCCAAAATATAATCTTTGGGTTTAGGCCCCAAGTTTTACCTATACAGGACCGTATTGTCCATAAAGCCGTTAATGCTTTGTTATATACTTTATTTAAGTGTGAACTCCAAGTAAGTTTACCATCTAGGACAACACCTAGGTACTTTGTTTCACTGGAAAGAGAAATATTAGTGTTTCCTAAACGTACGGGACCTATGTCTAGTTTACGTTTGAGTGTGAAAGGCACAACAACAGTTTTCTCCGGATTTATGGAGAGACCCTCACTTTCGCACCACGCTAAAATGCGTCGAAGGTGCCCTACCAAGATCTCTGATAGACTGCTACCATGCTTTCCAGATACTATTATAACTAGATCGTCTGCATACCAAATGGCGTCACAACCAATATTCTCCAACAAGATTAAAAGTTCATCAACAACCACTGACCAGAGCAAAGGAGACAGTACTCCACCCTGTGGGCAACCTTTTGCGGCCTCAACAGCTACAGACGTTCTACCTAAGGTTGATGTAATTTTTCTGCTTTGAAGCATCGCCTCAATCCAGGAAGTAACATTAAAATCAACATTTCTGTTAGTTAAGGCATTCGAGATCGAGCCATAACTCGTATTGTCGAAAGCTCCTTCAATATCCAGAAATGCACAAAGCGCAATTTCTTTGTTTTTGTGGGCCTTTTCAATTCTACTGACCAAGTTATGTAAGGCCAATTCGGTAGATTTCCCTTTGGAATAAGCGAATTGAGTTTTGTGAAGAGGTTGACTTTTAGACAGTTCTGTACGAATATAGATATCTATGAGTCTTTCCAAAGTTTTCAGGAGGAAGGATGAGAGACTAATCGGTCTATACGATTTAGCGTCATCACTTGGTCTATTACCATTTTTTGGTATAAATACCACTTTCACTTCTCTCCAAGCTTCAGGTATATGTTTCCAGCAAAGGCTAGCCCTAAAAAGCACCTTTAAAGGATTGATAAGAACGTCTATGCCGTTTTGTATAAGTGCCGGGAAGATACCATCACTTCCTGGTGACTTGAAAGGACTGAAAGAATTAACTGCCCATCTGATTTTATCAATGTCAAAAATGATACCAGATAGCGACATTAAACGATTGTCTGGTTGTTCATAACTTAACGTGCGCCTATCTATGGATGTATCACATAAGATCGATCCTGGAAAGTGCACATGTAGTAAATGTTGTAAAGTTTCCCTGCCATTTGCTGTGTAGAGACCATCATTCTTTTTCAATAGACCAATGTCATTTGAAAGAGACTTTCTCAACACTTTATGAAGGCGAGCCATTTGCGGAGTGTTGTCAACACCGTCACAGAAAGTTTTCCATGATTTCCGTTTAGATTTTCTAATCTCATTGTTGTAGGCAGTCAAGGATGTTTTATAGTCGACCCACACCTCTGATCGCTTTGCTAAATTAAAAAGCTTCCTAACCTCCCTGCGCATTTCTTCGAGCCTTTTGTTCCACCATGGCACATCCCGTCTGGATGTACGTGGTTCAACCTTACATGCATCTTCATGCGCCTGAGAGATAACAGAGTTTATTTGATCTGCAGCTAATTCAAGTTCATCAATATGACTGATTGAATTCAGTAACTGGTCCTCCTTACTAGATAAGGATAGTCTAAAGATTTCCCAGTTGATACACTTACGTGCAGCTGGCAAATTTCTATGTAAAAAGTGACCCGGCAGTTCAAAGAGAATATGTTGGTGGTCAGATAAAGAAACCTCCTTTGAGACCCTCCAATTAACAACATAATTGGAGATAAATTGACTAGAAAGAGTAAGGTCAAGAACCTCTCTTCTAATGGCATTAATAAAAGTGGGTTCAGAACCATTGTTCAATATGCTGACGTTATTACTACTAAAGTATTCTAAAAGCATTTGCCCTCTTCTATTTATGTTAGTACTACCCCATAAGGTATGGTGCGCGTTTGCGTCGCAACCAATTATAAATTGTAAATTATTGGATTTGCAATAACTTACCAAGTTTGTGACTGCTTCAGGTGGTGCTTCATCTGCATCGCCTGGAAAGTAGGCCGATGCGATCACGATCTCTCGTGTTCCGCACTCCGTCGGGATCTCAAAAATGGCCGACACCAAGTCCCTCTGGATGAAATCTGGAATTGGAATACAGTTAACATTTTTGTTTACTAGTATAGCAGTTCTAGGCGACTCTATGTCACGTTTATATATCAACTTGATTGATGTTGAAGGCCTTTTATATGCCCACCGACTGTCCATGGCTCCTGGATAAGCGCTATGGCCAGTCCTTTTGTGGCGAAGGTCCTGCACAAGGTAGCCGATGCTCCTTTCGCGTGGTGCAGGTTCGCCTGTAACACCCCTATGGTGCTCATTTTTGTTGAGTTTTATTGAGAGAGCGTTCGACTTCCTTTTGAAGTCGAGCTCTTCGTGGCCCTTTTTCCTTCTGGCGCTCTTTTGAAGTTGTTGATGCTCCACCCACAGGTGGCCGCATCCAAAGCCTTTTTTGAATGGCGGCTCTACTAGTAGTTGGGGCCTCATTTGGATTCACAATAGACGTAAGTGTTGATTGTGGGACCACGTGCTCCACTTTCTGTTTCTCCGTCCTTGTGATCTGGAGTTTATTTGGAACCTTTTGTTCCACAGGCCGTTGTTCTGGCTGCCCCTCCTTTGTCATACTGTTAGTTTTAAGCAGTAGCTTGACATGGCTGAAGCGATATGCAATTCTACCTCCACTCAGGACCAGTGAGTTCCAGGATGCATCGTCGACAGCAAAGACGATGTGGAGCAGTGGACCTTCTGTGGTCCGCTGTAATACCTTCCAGGTGCTTGCTTTAATCCTGTTCTGGGCCCCAATTGTGGCAAGAACCTTGGTATTTTCAAAATCGCAACTGTGTGGGAAGTATCCTCGCACCAGATGTGTTTTTGGAAACTCCGACTCTTCAACCACTTTGGCGCCCAGTTTAGCCTTTGTTGCAATAGCTGCCGCATTTTTACGGACCCATTCAGCCGTTTGGTTATTTGTGCACACCTTCATGAGCCATCCCGTACGAGGGAAACAACCTTCAAATTCTGGTTTAACCTCGTCAGACGCCAACTCTATGGCAGTCTCAATTATAGCCTCCTGTAGCTGTGCAGTCTGTTCCCTGTTTAGGGGGCACTTAGCCAAATCAAAAGGAACAAATCCTAATTTGATCCCCTTGGCCTGACTGGCTACTTGGCTGAAAGAGGGTTTACTCGATCCCTGAATCGAGGTGTTTTGTTTTGGTTTCTTACCAGCTGGCATGACCATGTCGTCAGATAAAGCCCATTTAGCTGGCGCTCGAGTTGGAAGTTTAGAAACCATGTCTAGGTCCACATCCCTAGAGTGTCCCTGACTCATGTAAGCCTTTAACCTCCTCTTCTGCATTGAGTTCAGTTTTACAAAACCCTTCTGGTCATGTAAACTGATCCCTTTCATACAAACATTGACAACAGTAGCACCTGACTGTTGAGA